TTTCAAAATTCCCCTACATTCGAACAAATCAAGCTGTTATTTGGCCTTTTTTCGCTGTCACTTTTAAGTAACTGACTGAAAGCCTTGATTTCTTTTTAAAATTATCCCCACGTAACAATTAAAAAGTTTTTTTCAGGATGAAATTATTTGAGGACAAGGTTTCGCCCGATTAGCTTTGCACTGACAAACTACAAAACAATCAACTTTGGGAAGCTAAATTTAGTAAATTAAGTTTTATAATGGAAAATAGTGTATATCTGTAGGACATCTCATATCAGATAATTGTAGAACTTTTTCAATGCATTGAATATGTCATTTATAGTTCAAGACTTGAATGTTAACAATATCCAGTTAATCTTGATTTTAAGTAGGTAAAGTATATGTCATTATTACAAAGTAAGTAAATACAAGTTAAATTGTTAGATATACCCAGTGAATTACAAATGACGCATATTTATACAAACTGGAAATTCCTATCCAGACATTTAAAGCAAAGAAATATTTCCTCTTAATCATATCTCAGTTATGCTCAGAGTAGTGTGTTTTCGTGTAAGTACTAGATGTTTCGTATTTATTGTTGATGTTATAATAGAGCTAAATTCACAATGATTAAAGTGAAATGTGTACTACTTGAGAACATAGCTTCGATATTGCTTTAATCTAAACGTCTTATTACATATATTTAGATATGATGATGCACATATATCAACAGAGACTGATTATTTGAGATCCTTAATACCAACAACAAGAAAATTTAAACCATTATATATGACTTCATACCCATTAAACAAATTAGTGGATATCTGAACCCAGTAACTTTAAGGATAACACATTAATATTTGAAATAGAAGAATCTGAGTTATCTGTGATATAATAATGAGGACTATAGATCTTTTTATTCAATATGCCTCAATGATTTGCTTGCATGCTTATTCACCAAACATTCTTTTTCCTGTTTAAATTATCTTATTATGGCATTCGGATGTACGGTAGTTATATATAAAAAGATGTGGTCACTATGACCTAGACTACAAATCTTTCATACAGTTGCTAGAATTCCATTCTTTAAAATAATTCTCTCTTATTTATTTCAGTTTATTTCCTACGTGTAAAAGAATTGGCAAGAGTATAGCAATACTCCTACGATTTATTTAGATTATGGCTGGTTTCTGTCATGCCGTTTTGTTAACTTAAGTATCTTGATTTCGATTTCAAAAATACCTGTAGATGTATAGTGACAAATCATCATCTAAACAAAAACTCCAACTTCAATAATAACAATATAATCCTAGATGACAAATGTTATGATTTCTCTTATTATGACCCAGCTATTCCTATTTCTTAGTATTCTTGGACACCAATTCACTAGACAAGTCCCCAAATTAGAACACGGTTAAAGAGAAACGTAATTACATTCCAAATAACAAGGGTAGATGGAAGTAGGAATTACAATAAGAAAAACGTTAGTATATTTATAATTTTTACACGAGAAGATTCTAGAGTCTTCTCCAAGTTTCCACTAGCTCTGATTGGTTAAGAAATAGCCAATCAATGCGTCACAACATAATCCTGCATGGAACGTGTTTTAATTCAATCTATATTTCGCTAGTGGTGGTAGTAGTAATAGCGGGTAAATTATACTGTAGTCAATACTATAATTTTTTCTTCTTTTTATGGATAGCCAAGCTTCCGTTTTATATAGTTGACTGTGAAGAAATTTTGGTAGATTTGAACGAATTCTGTAAACAACCTTGAAACTAACCTGTAGTTCTGTAGAGTGGTTAGAACCGTGACCAGTGGAATGTGAGACACTTTTCCAGCTCAGGTAATGGGTGAAGAGTTGCTCAAGATCACGAATTTATTAACATTAACCAAAAAAGCTTTGATTCAAAATTTTTAAGCAATCGAACTCATAAAAATCAATTTTTTTCAGAACACATATGAATAGTATGGTGATTGGAGGCAGTCAACAGGAAACCCTGGACCCGGGTTTCGTGCTATTTGGCACTCATCAGCAAGGTGTACCTGTAATCTTGATGGAACTGGTGCTCTCTGACGGATTCGATCTCGTGTCACCCAGCTTCACAGCCAGAGACGTTACCACTGGGCTATCCAGGTCCAGGGTTTCCTGTTGGCTACCTCCAACCACCATTCTATCTTAACATAGTGCACGAAATGTCAAGTCACCTAAACTAGTGGCCACATTGTAACATGGTCGATAGCATTCGATCTCCACTAAGAAGGACTTGACACACATGACATTGATCACCACCAAGTGATCAATCAAATGTGAGTTATAATTTCTTTAAAAGACAACACTAACTAGACATTCTTGAAAGAAGTTTATTAATGATTAAACTAATGTATCAGCTCTGTTGAAAAAATATGTTTCATCCATATTGATATATTTGTATTCTTAATGTTTGTACAACGTGATGTTACTAACATGAATTATTTCTATTGTGAGTCATTACTTTTAGTGAAAATTTATTACATCAAGTCGTGTTTAAAACTTGAAGCATAAAGTTATGTAAAATGATTCACTAAAAAAAATTAATATTTTGATATAAGTTCATTGTATTTAGAAAAAATAATAAATTAATAATAATACAGACAAATTATGACAATATTAATTATTACCTGTCATATGAATTTTAAAGATATTTATGAATATTTACTTATAGAGATATAGGTAGCAATTAATGATTTATGATTACATCGTCCAATAACCTCTGGAGATTGTCTTTTAATGTAATAAAGAATAAATAATGAAATAATATAATCTAAGTATATTTATTGTCTATATGTTTATTAGTTAGAAGATTATATTAATGGGAATATCCTGAATAGGCATTATAATATAATCAAAGTAATATGAACTAAAATAATGAATTTTACCAAAAACAATAGATTAGGATATTACCATGGTTATTTACTTTATTCTGATTATTTACAAGCAGATATTATTAATAAATGTAAGAAAAAAGCATTGAAGTATTGTTGAATAAACTCATTGAAAATATTGATTATATTTTTATTCTACAGTTTTAATGTTGATCTATGAATAAATCATTGTGTTTATGTCATACTAAATGTAGATAACCTTTTCTCTGAAGGAATTTCGAAAGGAATTTACACGAAGAACTGAACATTCAGCTTTAAATGAATAAAATATATATCATGTTTTAAACAAGTATAATTTTTGTATAGGTTTAAAGTGTGTTCATAATTTATATTAAATCCTATTATTGTAAGAAACATTAACTACTAACCATTTCAATTCAGAAAATCTATACAGTATATATGTTTCTATGGTCCAGTCTAGTCATTTAAATTACATATAAAATTTTGAGATTATAGTAAAAACAAACTGATATTTATGAAGAGATAAACTGCATTTACTCCAAAATAGATTAAGATGATTTCCAGAGTATTTGAATAATTTGGCTTTTTTTTCAAAAATAAGGTAGCTAGTTAACTGTTTAATGGAATGCTTATTAGTTGGACATATACAAAATTATTATGAGAAACGTCTAGCTTTTTAGAAGTGAGCACTAAGTGCTCAAAATAATGTGATTTGCAATAAATGATAAATCATGGATTGGTTGAAGTTAGATATTAAAACCGTTGGATGCTGGCTCAGTGATCTAGAGGCTAAATGTTTGCACGCGTTCTTCCAGTGTTTGAATCTCACGTAAGGAATCGTGGGTGCGCACCGCTGAGGAGTCCCATATTGGGACGAAACGGCCATTCAATGCTTTCAGGTTTCCCATGGTGATCTAGCTTAAATCGACTCATGAATTCAACCATTAAATATACTCTTGCCAAAAAATACAAACTCATAAAATACATAAAATGTAATAAAAAGTGGGTGCATTGAATAGTTTGTTTTTAGTGTATTTTACTCTGATAATATTATACAATTAACTGGAATTAAGTAACTGATAGTTTATCGTTTGAATTTGTATGATTGATTTCGTTAAACCTACACTTGCATATATATACTAAAGTTGGTGGTATATAGTATTAACAAAATTGATGAATGTATGTTTGTAGCACTGTCAACCCTGTTTCATAATTAATTTTAATATGATTATGATTGTTATTTAGGAAATATTTTCATCAAATCATTATCATATTGGATCACACAGTATCTTTGTAATCGTTATTCAAATAATAACATATTTATATATAAAACAAAGGATTTATAGGCCAGTTGGTGACTGGTGTGTGCAGTTAAGAAATATGTCTGAATATTCCTGTTGAATGACATCATTTCACAATGATCATAAATAATGTTGTCTATAATTTGTGGTAGATGCTTACATTTTCCCATTGTTAGTATGGAGAATTAAGTTCTACTTAATCGCCTAGTTTATAGAGCTTAAAGTTACTCTTGTTGTGTTACTGTTGCAATGTATAACTTTCCATTGACATTCAATAGAACATCATTTAGTGTCAGAGTAAAATTCCACAGAAAGTCTTGTAAATGCCATTTTTTGATTGTTTGATGCAAAAAGTAAAGTGGTTTAATACAGCAACACTCAACCTTCGATGAGAATTAGAACTTGATGTTGGCAACTTTTCAATAAATAATTCATTATATTTAGGTATGTAGAGAGTGGGGTAACATTGAAATGTCGGCTATCAAATAAATGAATGGAACGACACTTTACGCCTGCAAACAAGTCAAATTTAAATAATATTAGGGTATTTATAATTTAGTGAACTTTCAGGGTAATAAAACTCCACCTGTATCTATTCTAGGGCTACCATCCGTCCCAGGCTCGAGTTAAGGAGGAGGGTTAGGCATGGGATCGGCAACCCCAATCCCGTAGAAAATAACCTCGCTAAAAAAGCGCTAACCAGAATAAACAATTTAAGTAAATATTAAGATAAAAAAGGAGATATGATAATCCTCAAAGAAAAAATGAAGAAAATCTGAATAGTTCTTAGTTGTTTCTTATATAATCAAAGTGTGTGCTGAGTATGTCAAATCATTGACAATTAAAGAAAGTACATAATTATAACTAGATGATGTGAAAATATGAGTTATGACGAATGATTTCATGAAAATAAAACAATATAAATTAAAGATTACGTCTGTAAATATTTTCAATTATGTTTTTTTAATCAAATCCAACCAACAACTTCATAAATTATTGTATATAAAAATGTCTTTACAGCATCCTTCAGGGTAAAATTCTAAAATTTGAAAAAAAAAAACATATGCAGCTGAGTTAATATTATGCACAAAATATTCGAAACTAAATAAGCCAGCTGAAAAGAAATCATAATGACAATTGAAATTCCTGCAATCAGCATGATTTTTATGTTAATTTATCACGATCATCACGATTTTAAGATGATTAATAACAAGAGAACAACACGTAAATGACATATGATGTCTTACATAAGCGTGTCACTCCTCATACGTTATAGGCCTCCGAACAGGAATCTCCAACCCACTGTAACATGGACTCTCCAGTTTTGCCAAATGATATTCGTGATTTCGATGTCTGCCTCTATTTCCCGGTGCCCTGTGTACTTTGGTATGTCTCTTCTTTTTTCTTTTGCCTTGAGGATTCTAAATTAAGGTTTGCTTAATGATTTAGTTTTATAATACCGTAAAGTGCTTTAAACACACCTCCAGCGACTTTTTCTAATCTCTTTCCGGGCTGGCAGATGGTATATTCCCCACCAAAGTAGGATATTTTGATGATTCCTGGCCAAGTGATATGAAGCATCTTGTGAAGAAAACTTTATAAATACTTGTACCTTTTGTAGTGACCTACTTTTGTCAACAGAACGCGATTGGTTTGATGAAAACAATTATTATTATAACCAATTGTACCAGTGATTGTTTTATTGTGCTCGTTTGTTTAACTGTGCTAATGACAGCCATTATACTTACTCTCCCGTTGACTTTGAACTTGTACGAATTCGGTTACGCTCAGTAACCACGCTTGTACTCCTTTGGCACGATCTCGGTATTCTTTCGATACCACGAGATCGCCAACAAATACATCTCGACTACAGCCATCATCTGCCTTCTGATTTTTGTCCTACCGGAATCTTATTGGTCTATTGGCACGTAGTCTTGTAGCGATGTTCATAGTCAAGCTCAACTCGACACCACGCTACACTTTTTGATGGTGGCCTCAGTAGTTCTCCAATTTTCGGCTTCGTACAGTAGAACTGTTGGCTTGAAGACAGTTTTTGAGCTCCAAATGTACTTCAACTCCAGGAATGCTACACTTACTTTCCTAATCCGTGTCGTCACATCTGGATTGGATGGTCCTTGTTCACCGATGATGCAGTCCAGGTACGTGAAAGTTTCCACCTATTCGAGAGCTTCACCATCAAGCGTGGTTGGATTGGTATTCTCCGTGTTGTATTTCAGGATCTCGCTTTACCCCTTGTGAATGTTGAGATCTAATGCGGCATAGGCTGCTGCTACACTGACTGTCTTCACCTGCATTTGTTCGTGTGTATGGGATATAAGAGATCGGTCATCTGCAAAGTTCAAATCGTCTAGTTGCATGCAAGCCGTCGATCGCATTCTATGCTTCCCTTTGAGATGCGGTGGTCTTCATAATCCTGTCAACCACCGGTCCTCACTTGGAATGCATCTGTCAGCCGTCCTCCATGGACCAATTTACAGTGTAATCCATCGTATGAAATTTGTATGATGTTGAAAACTTTCTCAGGCACACCATAATGTCGAAGTTTCTATAATATTCTTTTGTCCACACTGTCAAACACCTCACAATCAAGGAAGTTGATGTATAATGACGAGTTCTATTCAATTGGTTGTTGAACGATGACCTGTAATGTCCCGATTTGGGTTGTGTACGACCGATCCTTACGGAATCCTGTCTATTCAATTTGAAAATGAGCGTCTAATAAATTTTTCGTCTGGTTTAGCAACACTCTGTTGAAAAATTTTCCTGGTACTGATATTAGTGTGATGCTATACAGCTGTGTTCTCACACTTGCTCAGATCTCCTTTCTTTGGTATCATGATGAGATATTCTTCTTTCCACTATGTCTGTGGCATTTGTTCCTCCTCACAAATCTTCCTGAATAGAACGTGTAACATGTTTGAAGTTGCTTCTGTGTGTAACTTCAGTGCTCCAACTGGTATACTGTCAAGTCCTACTACCTTGCCACTTTTGATTTGTCTGATTGCCATCCTGATTTCTTCGGTCATTGGTGTAGTGACATTTATAGGGAGGTCTGTGTGTACTGCTTCGATATCTAGTGGGTTTAGTGGAGCTGGTCTATTCGAAAGTTCTTCAAAATGCGCTACACGTCTGTTTCTCTGTTCTTCACTCTGAGTGTTCGAATTGCCTTCTTTGTTGTGGGCCGGTTTCTTTTGTTTACTATATTTCTCTGATAGTTTCTTCGTTTTGTCATATAGATGTCTCATATTTCCTTATCTTGAAGCTTTTTTTGCTGTCATTGCTAGCTCTTCCACGCATTTCTTCTTGTCAACTCTGATGTTCTTCTTCACTTGCTTGTTTGCTTCAGTGTATTCTGCTTGTACCTTGAATTTCTCTATTCTTGTTCGGATGTTTTGATTGCTGTTTTCTTGTTCTTCCTTTCTTGAATATTGTTGAGGGTTTCCATAGAGATTCATTCCTTATGATGATGCTTATTGTGATCTAGAACCTCCTGACACGTTGGAATCGGTGCTTTTTGATCCCTTCTAAGTTGTTTTCTATAGCAGTTTCTTCTTATTTCAGTAGATCCTGTAAGGCTTGGAACCTGTTGTTGAGAGCTATCTTGAATTCATTGAGTTTGTCAGTATGTCGAATGAAGGCTGTATTGAACCTTTGTACTGCTGTTTGTCCAGTTGTCCAATGCTTCTTCAGTTTCAGTTTCATCTTGGCCACAACCAGGAGGTGATCTGAATCTATGTCAGCCCCTCTCTTGATTCGCACGTTTTCCACTGAATTTTTGAATCTTTTAGTGATGCAAATATGATCTATCTGGTTTGCCATGTTGTGTTCCAGTAAGACCCATGTAACTTTGTGTATGCGTTGGTGTGAGATTATTGTTCCACCTATAACCAATTTGTTGAATGCACATTAATTTGCAAATCTATCACCATTCTTGTTCGTTTCTCCCAATCATTCCATGTCGTCCCACGATATCTTTATATCCGGTGTTCTCCATTTCGATTTTGGAGTTTAGAGATCCAATCAGAATTGTTAGGTCCTTTCCTGGGCACTTCGCTAGGATGGATTAAAGCCTCCCATAGAACTGATCTTTAATGTCGTCGTTGCTATCATTGGTGGGTGTATAACATTGGACAACATTTATTTTGATTATCTCCTCCTTTGTTTTGAAGGATGCTTTGATGATTCTGGATCCATGAGATTCTCATCCTATAAGTGCATTTTATGCATCTTTGGAGAGCACCAGAACAACTCCCTAACTGTATGGAGCATTTTCTTCTTCATGATCAGAGTACAGCAACATCCCTCCTGAATCTAACCTTCGCTGTCCAGTTTGAGTCTAATGTGTTTCACTGATTCCGAGCACCATCAAGTTGTATCTCTTCACTCCTGTTGCTATCTGACTGACCCTGCAGGTCTCCCACATTGTCTGGACATTCCATCATCATCGGCCTCATGAGTTTCGAAGAATCTCGGCTTTAACCATTAGATGTCATAAATATTATAAATGAAGAACTTTCAACTGTCAGTACACTGTTCAAGTGATTTGATTTTTTTTTCGTGCAGTTCGTTTCAGCAAGATTGTCTTCTACAAGATGAAGTTGTTAACCCCGTACCCAACCCTTCTTTATTCGGTCTTGGGAGCGACTTTAACCCCAGGAGGGAAGGACAAGTAATAACTTCAACGATGCTAGCTTTTTTCTTTCTGTATTCTAATGATTGTCAAGTTTGGTGCGAATGGATTTAAAACTTCTTTCAAACTAGAAAATGAAACGAGATAAAAAATGATAGCAACACTTCGGTTGTGTCTGACATTCTTGTGAAATGAAGACTACAATCGGAGTCCTCTAATAAAAATATTACCACTCAGAATATAGGACAAGAACTGATTAAATGAGTTCATTTAATAATGAATTCATTTCTACAAACTGTTCATTTCATTTCTCAAGGTTGTACACATAAATTTAGAGTCCTGACAACCAACAGAAATAATTCCTTTTAAATTCTTTTACATATGGTTGAGTTCAGTAACGAAAACGTCAACTACTAATCATAGTGGTTCTCACCATTACAGAACGATTATATTTAAGTGATGACAGTTCTGAAAACTTGTAGTGTATGATTTGAAATCAGTTAATTGATAGTCAAGTTCTATAATCAATAACAAAGGTATTCCATTGGTTATTTACAGCTGCTAGTCGACGCACATACCCCAAAAGCTCGAACTCATATCATTTGGTGGAAAGGTCTGTTTGTACCTCTACTACATTAAGACAGTAATCGAGACAAACTGAAATATTTTAGAGAATACGAGTTTTCTATGATTTTCAAACATGTATTCGTCGAACTAGAATGGTTCGTAAGGCAGTAGAAAAACAAGCACATTAATTAAATTAATTCGGTCAAAATGATAAGCATTAACTAATAAAAAAGATTATTTTGGAATTGTGCCAAGGTTAAAGATAAACTCAGAACACTTGTGAATTTATTTAGGTAAATGGGATGGTGAGAAAGCATCTGTCTATGTTAGGCTAACAATCACACTAACATTCACTGTCGGTAAGTAATATATATTTGGATAGCTTTTTTTATGTTAATAGTCTAAAGACTTACAATACATCAGGACAATCCCCAAAGTATTTTGTCTGTCTGTTTACAATGCTTTATAGATATGAATGTAAATAAATGATGTGAAATTATAACATCTTAAAAATCCATTTGACTTAAGTTGTGTCTAACATGTTTATTTAATTTTCGTTTCGCATTAATTCTTGAGGTATGACGAACTAGTGATAATTTCCACAGCCATAATTCATACGTTTTTGTTACATTTACTGTCATACATAAATGGCGTTATTCCATTGTGGAGTACAATGATTGGTACAAATCACTTTTATAACTTACTATTTTGCAGTAAGATTTATTGTCTTTTGGTTTATGACAAATCGATTGTAATTACTCATCAATCAATTAGAGGTGAACTAAGAGATATAAAATCGCTATAATTTCACTCATTCAAAT